GTGTGTGTGTGTGTGTGTGTGTGTCCGTATGTGTGTGTGTGTGTGTCTGTGTATTTTTGTGTGTCTCTTGAATAGAAGGTTAGGTGGGAATTATCTCTTTTGTTAATCATTAAAATATCGATTAAACATTAAGCTCAATCAAATGTATAAACTCGTGCATTGTTCCCGACCTACTCTGCCTTGGGGTGACGTCCACTAACAGCACAATGAAGCCCATCTTCTGACCACGTTTGCTAGCCTTGAAGCTGGTAAGATGTGACCCTGTTCCAGACCAACAAAACCCGCTGTCAGTCTGTGAGAGACCACATCACATCCCTACTGTTTCCTGGGCATCTTCCCCTCTTCGTATTCCTCCCTATCCCTCTCCACCGCATCTCTACTTACATCTGCCCATCTCCATTCCAGCCTTCCTGCTGCTGAGCTCTTCCCGGGTCCTGCTGTTTGCCCTGGGGATGCTGCTGATGGGGGCGGCGCACGCCGTCATCACCGTGAAGGGCACCCACCTGGCCAGCCACGGGGCACTAAGCGAGTCCCAGGCCTGGGGGGAGTTCTGGGCCGTCTTCTTCATCGAGGTGAGCTGAAGGATGAGTCCGGCAGCAAAGGGGGCCGTGAGGCTGCCCCTCCACTGTCTGCCAGTTACAGTTTAAAATGGTCTAATCGCACAAATGGCTGATGATCTGAATTTACTGCCCACTGCTGCCACACTATGAACGTCAGGTATGGTTTCCGGAATGTTCTGAACATGGAGAAGACACAGCCTCTCCATTAAGAAGAGGCCTCCCTGTTAGCTTAACTGTTTATATTTAATAATTATTCTATCTTATTTTTGGGGGGTGGGGGGGTTGGTGTGTGCCTGTGATTAGAAGGTCATTAGTTTGAATCCCAGGGCTTGAAGACTGATGTCACTGTTGGGCTCCAGAGCACGGTCTGTACCCCCCAGCTCCAGGGGCTCTGCATGCTGGTTAATCCTTGCGCTGTGACCCACAAATTTGCTCTCACCTGTGTATCCAGTGCTGTGCTTAGAATGTTTTATCCAGTGCTGTGCTTAGAATGGTTTATCCATGCTGTGCTTAGAATGGTTTATCCAGTGCTGTG